AGACATAGTATATATTGTAAGCCATCGTATATATTAGGGTCTGTAGAGGTTACTCAGCTTCATCCATGCATGTGGGGGGGTTTCCAGGCGCTTCCAGGCCGTTCCACGGGGCTCCAGGGGCCTCCAATACCTTGCAGAGAAGGCTCCAGGAGCTCCAAAAGGGCCGGATGGTCAGGTTGGACTAGGCCACCCACCATGGCGGGGGATGCTACCAAAATCATTTTTTACAGAGCTTATAGCCCCAACTCTAATCAACAACCAAGACAAGTTTTTCTCACAAATCGGCATTCAAGCAGAAACACCCCAAATTTGTGGGAGCCCTAAACCGTTTACCCCAGAACCAATGTCTCTTCGTACAACCTCTATGCCTCCGTCTGTAAGGAGACCCAAAATGTCTCAAAGCCTCATGGGCCCTAAACCCTAAACCGTATGAGTCGTGGGTGTATGCGGTTCTTTCATCTCATATTTTAGCTAAACTCAACGATCTACCAATCCGGGTCCTCCAAATTTAGGGTTCATGGTTTATGGTTTAGGGTTTATAGCTTGCAAGCAACATACTAACGAGAAGCCCTGAGCCCCTAACGGCCAATGCTCGGAAGCTCAGGAAGTCCCTGACAGTTTGGAAGCCCGAGGAGGCGGAATCTCCAAAATCCAGCGGAAAGGGGGACCTAAAGGACCGCCACAGGGCTTGAGGTTCAGGATTTAGGGTTAGGGTTTAGAGTAGACCTAAGCCCTAAACCCTAAGCCCATGAAACTGCAACCCAAAAGGGAATCTCAAGGAGCGCCATATTCGCAGCATGGTCTAGGGTTTAGAGTACCCTCGAACTCAGCCTCAATTAGGCTGAATGGTCCCAAGGAATCCCCCTAGTAAAGCCTATTTTGCAGACCGTTGTATGCCTAATAATCAGATGACCGTATGATATAACCCCAAATTCCCCAAATCCTCGTTTTTACTAAGCCTCTCATGATGCCTGCACACATTATTTCTAGCTTTCAGGGCCATGCACTAGGTTGGCACCCTGGAGCTTCCACCCGCATTCCGCATCCGAAGCCTCTAACTTCTCCTAGGAAGTTCAGTGGTAGTCTTTTACCCTTTTGCGGGCTCTGGGCTTCTTTATGCAGTTAACCAAGAAGAGAAAAGGTATATAACCATATTGCAAGAGGGCCACCGGGCTATCAAGTCGCATATCAGGAAAGCTAGGCTGGTTTTGGATTTTCCCTACAGTAGCTTCCATTTGCTTTTCCATTAACCCCTGTATAACCCCTAGAACAACTACACTATAGGGGGCTGCAACGCTTGCAGGACAACAATGGTAACAAGCAGGACCGCATGCAAGGCTCAGTAAGACTGAGGCTTTAGCAAGTTATGCCGTACAGGGGGGTATATAGGGGATGATTTAGGGGAGTATTACAGGGACTATTAAGGCAGATGCTCGGAGTTTACTCTATGTGGCCTAAATGACGGGATCTGCAATAACGCTTAACCACACAAGAACTCCCAAGTACGTGCAGGGTCTAAAAGCGCATCCTGCAATAACCTCTAAACCAACTGCAAGCCCTACAACCCCATACTATAAAACTCTAGACGCTGAAATCCCCAAACACTACACTCTGAATCTTGGGGCTTCAAAGTTTGCAGAGGACCGCCTATTCGACAAGTTGAGCTTGGATTTTGAACCTGGTCGGCCTTTGCACATGAGCTATAGTCTAAAGTCCTTAAAGGGGGTTATATAGGGTTTAGGGTTTAAGGCTTCGTGTTTAGGTTATACAGGGGGTTATGTAGGCGACTAGTATAGGGCTTATTGGGAGTTTAGATTAACATTCCCCAGTAGGCGCCTATCGCCTTTTTTGGGGGGTGCTTTGATGGATGGAGGAACTCGTTCTGCCCCCTATCTACCTATACCCTGGAAATTTCAAGATTTGCTCCATCCACAGTAGGTCCTCTATAGAACTAGGTTATATTGAATCAGGATGCCCTTTGTAGTTCTGGGCAATTGGTGACCCGAGTCACCGTTTGCCAGTTAGATAAGAACATCTGGGGCCAGAGCTTCTAATGTAGACCCCTGATTACTAAACCCCCTCCCCTTCTGAGGGATTATACTCGGGATTCTAATATCAAGGCCCTTAAAAGGAGGGTTTTTTTTTTAATTATGGGTCTACATTAGGGCTTGGGGCAAATTACGGCATTCCAGGAATTTCCTGGCCTAGTTAGCCTACAGAAATCTGTTTCCTACCTTAACCTAGAGGAACCTGTTTGTTTGTCAGGTTCCTGGTCATACGACAGATCAGAACAGGACCCGGCAGAATGTGTAGTCTCTAGCAGGCTCAGGGGCAGCAGTGTGGGTTGGACCAGATGAGCGTGAGCTTATGGAAGAGGTAAGGACTTTCCCTATAGTCACTATAGTTGTCATTTTGAACAGCACTGGTGCTTCGTAGTTTGCGTATCTAGGCATGATCGAATGACTGGGATCTAGCTCTCTGCTTATATGGGGTTTAGGGCAGGTTGGCTGGTTCCGGGGTTCGTTGTAGAAGCTTGCCAGGGAACTTAAAGTCTTACCCGATGTTGGGATCCTAGATGCCAGACTACGGGGTAGCACCATAGGAGTTCAGTCTCTGTTGCAAGGCTTGTTCCGGGTCGTTAGATGTCTCAATGCCGTTGATTGTCATCTGGGCGCCCATGAGAGGATGCCCTTGCAATTGGGCTGTCAGGGATGAAACATAGATGGGCAGCATTAGGCTCGGGAACCTTGTTTGACCCTCACATTCCACTTTACGCTAAGCTCTCAGAATTCAAGCAACAGCGTCCTTTCTGTGCTTTGGTACCGAATGCCGCCATTGCAGGAAGGCGTTCTTTCCAAGGCTTTTTTGTAACACGGAAGTTCTGAAGGGTTATCAGGCCTTTTAAGGGACTTGATGGCCATTTGTTGGAGGGGTTCTTTTTGGGGTCTCCTGTGGGAGGCACTCAGGCGTGGCCTCCATCTTGATGTCATCCTTGTAAAGCTTCTATTGGGGATACTATAGGGGTTATATAGGGGTTATATTGGGATAATGGAAAAGAAAATGGAAACTACTGTTTAGGGTTATTGGGGTTATAATGGGGTTACTATCTAGCATTCGGTGTTTTGTCGGCGCACGAAGTACCTGCGATGAGCACCTGGGGGTTGGACTACATTGACATCGCTATCTTTATATAACCGCCGCAAAAGCCCTGTAGCAGTCCTAACGGCCCCTTGTTTCATGCTTTGCCAGCAAGACGCTATCCAAGCAACAATTGCCAAGGAGGCAGGGTGCCGAGTATTGGTTCATGGGCCCTCCGGCGTGGGCAAGAGCACGCTCTTACGAGCGATTTCGGGAGCTTGGCCGTTTCCCGAGTCTCAATTAGCATGTTTTCTCCTTTCTCTTTGGCCCTGAGGTTCATCAGCAAAACTCATTTCGCTCTTTGAGAATGAGCTTCGCATGAGCGTTTTTTTTTATTACATTTTTCATTTTCTTGGTTGTCAACTACAATGCAGTTTGGCCGAAATTCCCAACTACCAGCAACCCCCTAAAGCCATTTGCCAAGGGCAATGCAGATGTTTGAACATCTACCGATATGATTGACGTAACAAACCCTATGGGACTACAATATACTCTACCCCGGAACGCTTTCTGATTTTTCAAGCTCGTACAGTGCACTCCTACATAGCCCAGTTCCCATTTAATTTTACACATGTTTCTCCATGTGATTCCCAACTATTCTATCGATTCCTGGGGATCTCGGACCTTTGGAAAAATACGGTCGAATTTTCAGTAGCCTGTATGGATTTCTTCAGCAAGAAAACACATCACGGGCTTTGGGACAATCTCCCTAAACCCCAAACCCTATGACCCTAAAACTTAAATCCATCAACCCTAAACCCAAAACCACCGCAAAAAAACTTGAACCGTAAACCCTGAATCTCTATAACCGTATATGAAGAAAGTCAGGTTTGCAGAGGGCGAAGTTTGGACCCCAGGACGCTTGGCCACCAAGAAAGACTAACAACAGCGGATTTAGGGTTTAGGGATGGATAGGAATATTTAGGGTTACAGGCATATGTATACAGATAGACAGCATGTGAAAGAGCACATGGGGGCACATAGGGTTTGGGTTCGGTTCAGTTAGGATCAGAGTTTAGTCGTTTAGACCGCAGGGCCGGCAATCCCCTTTCCATTACTAAGTAACCCCCTCCCCCCAAAAAAATGAACACTCCCACCACCCTAAAATTGAATTTCCCAAAATACTAGAGTATATTTTCAAGCTGCGTGGTTTTTGTGAGGCCTACAGTAACAGGCCGTCTCACTCCTTGTTTTACTCGTTTAAGGGGATTGTCAAACATTCGTATGGAACTTGGGGTAAAGATTTCCAAGTTTGGCACTTGGTATGTCGGGGCTTTACTGTTCAGTTGTTGAGCAGAAAGCCCTAAGGGTCCAAGTACCCAATAATCATATACTTACCCACAACCTGTACTATAATCCCTATATATTACCCAAATCCCAAGTACCTAATTATTGGGTACATGGACCCTTAGGGAAGGCTTTGGGGTTGACACTTTTTCTGATAATGTGCAATGTGGAATCAAGTCTGCTTGCAGAAGGCTGGTCAAGGTCTCTATGAAGGCACCCTAGGCGCCACCCGGTAAAGCCGATATCTTGCTGATAAGCAGGCATCTGCCTCGCGAATTTCGGCCTTTGACTATGAGAAACTACGATGAGAATTTGACAGAGGTCTCTGTGAGACTGAAAAAGTCTACCTGGCAGTTTTCCCAAATAGGGGGGACCAAATTTCTATCCAAAGTGTGGGTCCCCACCAAAGGGCAAACCTAATTCTTGGAAACTCCTGCATAGTGGACTTTACTCATTCTTTTTGAGCGTGCGAGAATCCCTTAGAGATTATATATCAGCTTGCACCAGCAAGCCTTCCTAAAGCGCGAAAACGTTGTACTTTGCATACATGAAGGTTTTCCAAAATTAGGGGTACCTGTTTGGGGGTCCCCATAATAAGGATTAAGATATTGCGGGATGGAAACGCTCGCATCACAAGTTAGGCAGAAGCCTCGGGCACCTGACAAAGGAACTGGCTGTCACGATTTCACCTTGAACCAAGTGACAGCTTAGATTAGCTGTAGTCTAAACTAACTACTCCTAGAATACTTTCCTATATAATCCGGTACATAATTCCACTTTAGGGAGTTTAGACTAGTACGCATTGCTACTTGTACCTCAGGCCGTACGGAAACAAGAAATGCGGGACTGCCTGTTAGAGGAGCGTGTCGCAAAGTCATGGTAACCCTCTGTATGACCAGAGTAAGGACCTCCGAAAAAAATGTTTCACGATTTGTAAGAATTCCCTCAGGTGATCCCCCCGCCGACCATACTAACTCCACGGGATAACCGTGATTATGTAAGGGCTCCCCTACATTCCTACTATCCTACATGTAGCGGGTGGGTGATAACCTTCCAGGTATCCTCGAGGCTCCATACGTCTAGCAAGTAAATGCCTACATGAGCTATAATCTAAACTCCTTGAAGGGGGCTATATAGGGGATTATTTAGGGACTACTATAGGGGATATTAAGGGGGATACTAGGAGTTTAGACTATAGCTCACATGGATTAAGCCCGAAAGTGAATAAATATTGCGGACATCGAGCTATTCGGAACATTGCAGGGTATGCTGCCAGGAAAGTCTTCTCCGCTGGTGTTGCCGGCGGAGGTCTATGTACCTTCAGGCGATCTCCGTTCAGCGGCGCCGCGGCTTCAGATTCTACGGTTTGGGGTTTAGGGCTAGGGTCTGGAAAAATAGTTCCTTTACGGGGGCCCGCTGTTCCTTATCCCTCTGTATCCCTGCCGTGGTCAGGTTTCCCTACCTTTACAAGACCTCATGCCCAGACCCCCAAAGGGATCTAAAAATTAGATCCCCTAGAACCATATGGGAAAAATGTATAAGGACTATGTAGGGGCTATAATGGGTCGATATAGGGGATCTAATTTTTAGATCCTCCCAGGGGTCTGGGGCAAGTGCCCACCCTAAACCCTAAACCCTAAACCGCTGGAAGGGATCAACCCTGAGCTCTTTCTCTGACTCCAGTTACCCCACAGTCGAGTAGTTGCCATGTATTCCCCACTACACTGTCGGCAAACCAAGTCCCAGGTTAGATGCGAGATCCTAGGGTTTAGGGTTTAGGGAGATTGCATGAAATTTCCATCTTGATATCCCTAAAACCAAACGGCCAAGACATTGTTGCATCCATCATTGTTTGGAGTCGCTCCAAATACCTGCTTGATGTAACCGTGTAGGGTTTAGGGTTTTAACCAGGAGGGCGATTTTGCAGATAATCTGTTGATGATGCTTTTGGAGCTGGGGACAGAGTTTTGCATTTTCCGGGTTCGGGTCTAGCCATTGAGACCCCCTTTTTGGTTGGCGTTGGTCTAAACATGTCCAAACCTAAATCCTTAACCTACCTGCTGTTTAGTAGGGAATGAGGAATGGATCCATGTAGCAATCCTGCTAGATTCCCACCCAGTACTCCCTATAAGGCTTTCCCGCATTTCCTACAAAGCCCCAAGGAGGAAGTTCACACTAAAAGACTGCCAGAATGGAGTCAGGTGTGCTACCCATCGGCGCCGGGCGCAGCGGGATTCGAAGACGCAGCCAGCTAACAACTAGTATTGATGTAGAAACTCCTGCATCACCTTACGTATACTACTGTCAGACTACTGTGTCCAGGATACAAGGTCCTGCAAGATTTTGTCTATTCAGTGTAGAATCTGCTACCAGCACAATCCTCAAGCCACCAGCGCCAGTACTCTTAAGCCTCCCCCCCCACCGCGAAACCACAAACAAAAGGCGCGTAAATCTCACCCTTACGCCCCCGGAATACCATGCCAGGGCAGTCGCCATTTGAGCCATACTCTAAACTCCTAGTATACCCCTTGATAACCTCTGTAATGGTCCCTTACATAGTCCCTGATATACCCCCGTTTGGAGGGGTTAACCCTCAACCTCAAAACGTAAACCCTATGGAGCCCGCTTTAAGGAGTTTAGACTATAGCTCCTTCGACCAGCAGAATGCTTCTTGGAGCTTAACTTCCCAAAAGACAAAAACACCGCGCTTCCCAAGATTAAGGTTGACTATTATGAAGGTTATATAGTGTTACATAAGGCTATATAGTGTTTTATAGGGTTATGATTAGGGTGTAGGGATTAGGGGTTAGGGTTCCCAGGATTAGGGAGGGGTCCCCCTAAGGGTTTAGGGGGATTTGGGAAACTATCACATGCCAGCACCCAAGACCCCTTTTGACTGCGTGACCTAGAGCCTAGTAGGGGTCAGCTTACTTGCCATGCGTAAGCCCCTAAATCCCTAAACCCTAAACCCTAAACCCTAACCCTATATATCTTTCATTCCCTAAGCGCCTAAACCCTATCTCTTTCATTCCCAAAACCCTGTCCACTAAACCCTATATCTTTCATTTCCTAAACCCTAAGCCCCATATCTTTTATTCGCTAAACCCTCATCCCTAAACCCCACTTCTTTCATTCCCTGAACCCCTAAACCGTAAACCCCAAACCCTACATCTTTCATTCCGCCTGCACCAAGGCAGATGTGACGCGGGCCTTGACGACTGTCGGACTTGGCCAGCCCCTGGCCAAGTAGAGAAGGATTCCAAGGGCTTAGTGTTCAGGGGAAAGGGGGTTTAGGGTTGTAGGTTTTTAGGGTTTAGGGGTTTTGGGTTTAGGGGTGTAGGGTTTAGGGGTTTTGGGTTTAGGTTTTTGGGGTGTAGGATTTGGGGTTTAAGAGTTGGGTTGTAGGGGTTTAGGGGCTTCGGGCTACGAGTCTAGGTCAAGGGTGGTAGGTTTTAGGGTCCGGGTTCAAGATACACTATAGAGTTCAGGGCTCAGGGTGTAGCGTGTAGAGTTTGGGGTTGATAGAGTTGCGTTAAGGAGTTCCGTTTGGTGATTGCTGTGAAGATGAGTTTGATGTTGAGTGGGTCAGGGAAGGGATCCGATGCAGCACATGGAAGAATCCCTAGTAGCTATCGTCATGCTATCCTCCCCTGTGCAGCAAGGAGTGCAGGATGTACAAGGGTTCAAAGGCAACCCGCCCTAATCCCTCAAATGAGTGCCATCGCTTGAACTCCCAGCTGCTTAAATGACAGTGCCGGAGTGAAGTGATGTACCCGCATGGCGAATTCTATATGGCGGTGATTATACGGATCACTCATCCCCTCCCCGTAGTATTACCCCCCCAAATCCCTAATATTGGATATTCCCATGGTTTAATATTGTAATATATTGGGAAAATGTGATATTAGCCGGGGTGGGGTATTGTTGGGGAAACACTCCTCCACTTCAGCTTGCCGACGAGCAAAGTAAGGTTGGGTAAGTCGTAA